TCAGTACCATGGAAACTGTACCGTAGAACTGGGGATAAAAAGATTAAAGAAACGTTAAGGTAAAAAAACAGCATATGCTTCCAGGAGTTGTGTAATCCTAATCAAACTTCTAGAAAATGAGTCTAGACGTTGTCTGTGGGTTGTTCTGACTCACGCATTCAGCTCTCTCACTGCCTTGCCTCCAGTTCCTTTCCATTATTCCACCCTTACATTTAATTTCCACTTTTCATCTTGTGCTTCTTCTAGAAAAAAGACGTATCTGGGGACTGATTTCCATCTTTGTAAAGAAATATGTTTTTCAATTAAAATTCACTCAGAATGACAGGACTCTTTGGAACTGGCTGCCAGCCCACTAAGAATTAATCCATTATGGTTTCAAGAAGACTTTGTGTGTACTTTTCCTTCAAATTGACCCATCTCCTTTTTTCTAGCATCAATAGATTTATGTATGTGCCATAAATCTTGGCTGGACTGCAGTTAAATTTTTATCTACCAATATCTCAGACACAGACTTTTCTGCAGCTAAAGAAATGCTATGCTACTGTTGTGAGGAAACTGCATTTCCCATCTATGATATTGCTAGAATGACACAGATCTACTGGTCTTGACATTAGCATTAAAGTTTCAGAGGTTTCTAAACAAGATTTAAATCCAAGGATTGGGCTAGCAAGTACAATAGAAATGAAAACTCTGGATTTGGTATTTGGATTTGGAGAATATTATTTTTAAAATTCAAAGACACTCCATCATCAAACTTATAACAATCATCTTGTATGCACTAGTTCTTGCTGAGGGCATGTCTACACTAGCAAATTATTTCGAAATAATTAATTGGACTTAACTCCCAATTTTACAAAATTGAACTAGCATGTCCCCACTATGGGGAAGCCTTGAAATTAGTCTAAGGCAGTGAAATTAGTCCAAGGCAGACTCTGTTAATGAGGATGTGCTACCTCAACTTAGAGCCCCAGGAAGCACTATGGGGTAATTAGTTTGAATTATTCTGAGGAGTGGTTATTTCAAAATAGCGGCATTGCAAATAACTATTTTGAAATTAGTATTTTCCCTGAGGAAAGCGGGAGTACAGATTTCAAAATAAGCAGCCTGTTATTTCAAAATAACGGGCTTGGTAGCATGGATGTAGTGATTATTTCAAAATAGCGGCATTGCAAATAACTATTTTGAAAATGGTATTATTCCCTGAGGAAAGCGGGAGCACAGATTTTGAAATAAGCAGCCTGTTATTTCAAAATAACGGACTTGGTAGCATGGATGCTCCACTTATCAATTCTGTCCATGGGAGCTGAGAGATTTTGCTGGGGGGAGGGGCAGTGCAGCAGAGCTACACAGAACAGCTCTGTCTGAAGGTCCCGCTGGGCTTTTGGCTGAGAGCCGCCTAAGTAAGCATTTCCCAGCCAGAGCCTGCCTCTGGCACCCCACCCCCTTCCGCACCCATCTCCCTCCCAGACCCTGCACTCCCTTCTATACCCTACCCATCTCCCTCCCAGACCCTGCACTCCCTTCAATACCCCACCTCCTGCCCTAGATCACAACCCCCTCCTTCATCCAAACTCCCTCTCAAGCCCCAGACTGTCTCCTGCACTCCAGTGCCCTGTCCCGGACTCCCTTCTGCACCTAACCTCCATCCCAAACACTGCTCCCCCTCCACAGAAAAGTGCGGCCCTTGACCACCTACCAAAATCTTGGAGTGCCCCCCCCACCAGAAATTATTGCCTCTTCTACAGTGTCTAAACTCGCCCCTTTCCTAGGATTTGATCTTACTATTTAAATCCATTGACAAACTCTTTTATATTCTTTCTAACTGCTGATATTATTAAAACGGAGAGAAAGAAAAATACAGCACGCATGTATTTTAGAGTTAAATGATTGAGATGACTTCTCCACAGTGAACTGAGGTGCCCAAGTGTGAAAGTCACTTTTGAAAATGTTCTCCCTGCTCCAAAAAACTGTGGAGTGAGACAAATTTTGGACACAAATCTCATGGACAGTGTTCTTAACTTTTTCAAGCATTTGGGGAGTTTTTTGAACACTCTGAAGTGAAACTTATTCTCAAATGTTTTAATGATGAAATTGAAGAATGGGAAATGACAAAGAACTGAAGGTGCCATTAAGTGTACTAGAGACTAATTAATTTAGGGTGACAATGAGCTGCTATAGTGATGGGTCCCAAACCAAAACCCTAAGAAAGATTAACAAACTAGTGTGAAGGGGTGAGTGCCCATGATTCCTATTGAAATCAATGAGTAAGATAAATGCTTAGCATTTGTTCTGGATCAATTAACAGAACATAAAGTAGAGTATATAATCTTACAAAAGGGGCTATCTTTGGGAGATAGAATACAGTTACTTTCACAAACACTTAACTCTCTTTACTAAAGGTCACAAAATAAAGCCAGTGGAGAATTTTCCTACTATTATTAGGAACATGCTGTTCTTTTACACTGTTTGAATGTTTTTATTATAAACCAACAAAGAGGTTCCCTGCTAGAGCGTGATGATATTCTGTCTGAAGTTACTGTAATACCCAATTCAGTTTCTTAAAAACAGACACTAATATTCCCGCACAGTGGAAAACAAAAAAGATTTTAAAGCATTGCTCATCTTCTCACTTCTTAAACTGAGTGTTCTGCCACTATCTTATCTCCAATTTTAAAAAGGAGAAATAGAGTAAGTGATACTAATGATTGTTTTTAATTAAACCTTTATGACATACAGATCTATACTGGCATAATCTATCATACCACCTGCCTGGCATAGTCTTGTCATCATTAGTGGTAGCATGCTATTATTCCTATGTATCACCTGGCTGGCTCTCTTGGCTAATCCAGATCATCTAGTAATTTGCATATACATTTAGGTCAGACTCTTCTTTTTCTCACTGGAAGTCCTAAGGAAACACACCATCATACGCACACTCGGTAAAATCGTACACATTCCATCAGAATACTATGAGGATCTGTAGTTAATGTTTAATCTTATTAGCAATGTGCTACAGGAAAGTCTCTAAACCTTAAATGAAACACTGCCAATTGCTCAGTAAAGCTGAGATGTCAGTAGTAAAATTAAACCTCTTGGTATGCTGAGCTCTGCAGTAGCGTGTGTGTAAATATGCTAGCTAGGTACATAGAAAAGATGAAAAAGGGTGCAGAAAAACAAGCATTCTTTCTCTCCGGTTCATTGTACAGGGCATGTAAGCTGTAGAATCTCCACATGTTCAGCACAATGGCTAGCTCCTAGCCACCAGCTTCATTTCCTTGATTAGTCATCTGAACAGTTTCTGTAATTACTAGCTCTTGCAGCTCTATGCCAAGGGAAAACAGAGGGAGAACCACACTGAGGAATGTGGGAGAAGGATGAATTTGTTACAGCAGGAGGCACCCTTCATGGCATTGCTCTGCACAGCTCGGTTTTTCTTCTGCACCTGAAGCTGAAAGAAATGAACTGGCTTGAAACATTTTCCTTACCCGCCCTGAGCTATTGAACCATGAGCCTATCTCCAGGGAGGAAACAGCTGAACAGAAATCTCGGCTGTGTACCTGAAAGGGAAACAGTGCATTTATCACTGGCCGTGTCCAGCCGCCTTTAGTATCAGCCAGCCACATGGTAACCTTGCCAGCTCTAGTCACATTCCGTTATTTATTGCTTTAAAAGAGATTGAGCATGTGCCTCCAAATATATAAGAAAAGAAATAAAGAAAAACCAGTGCTTGGGGTAGTGTCAGAACAAGCAATCATCCCAAAATAATCGTCTGTCCCTTGGAGTCTCATTGGCGATGTCAGAGCAAAAGGAATTCCTTTGCACAAAAGGCTAGCAATAAGGTGAGGGACAAAAATCTTACTCACCATATTTCACCATTCAGCAGTAATCCTCTTGTTTCTGGTCTTGTTGCTGCAGCTGAGTATCTGTATCCAGAGGCTCTTATGATGCTTTTCAGACTCAGGGCTGTACTACCGCGGCTCTCCACTGGAATTCTCCACCTCCTGTCATTTCCTCCTCCTCCTCCTTCCCTCATCCCCACCCCCCAGTCCCTCCAGCTTGCAGCTTGTCCAACCGGACATAGATTCTAGATTTCTACATGTCGCTTGGTTTAGGAAAGATGTTTGTTGCATCGGTTCACAAGTAAATGCCTCCATTGTTCAGAGGCAAAAACTGAAGGTAAACTAGAGAGTTCACGGCAGCGTCCTGGTTATACTACACACATAACAGGTTTGGGTTAATTCAGGAGCGTGTTATTGTAACTGTATTTCTCCCACAATTTTAAGAGGTGTCTGGAAGCCAAAACACCTGTCTGTACAGATACTTCTAGGTCATGGCAATGTATCACTATTCAACATGTATGAAGGTTACTGAAATGAGTCATCCTTTGAAGAAGTGAGCTAAAGAGGACTGTTAAGGAGAGAGACGCTGTCTTCACAAATGCTGCTTCTGATATTAAAGAAGGGATCTGTCACTGGAGCATAGCAGGGACAGGAGGAAAGGGAATATTTCTACCAAAAAATGTAATTGGCTATTTATCTTGAGGGGGGCATTGTTTTTTAGTCACTGGCTGTGTTTTAAACCAGCTTTCAATCTAATTTCTGCTTGATTCTGTCACAAAGGCAAAATTGGGAGTTATCATCACATCACAGTCTGTTATGGAGATGGGTTTAATATCACCAGTATCAGAGCTTCAATTTCATGACAATGTTGAGTTAGATCCTCTTCCTCCTTCTCTCCCCCCACCCAAAAATACCCTAGCCATGGAGGGGTTGGAATCTCATATGCTGAAAGGGAAGTTAATTTTGCGTCTTAAACCTCAGTATCTCTGGGTATGTCTACACTACAGAGTTAGTTCGAACTAACTTAGTTCGAATTAGTTAATTCGAACGAAGCTAATTCGAACTAACGCGTCTAGAACTAAAAACTAGTTCGAATTAGCGTTTTGTTAATCCTTTGCACAAAAGGCTAGCAATAAGGTGAGGGACAAAAATCTTACTCACCATATTTCACCATTCAGCAGTAATCCTCTTGTTTCTGGTCTTGTTGCTGCAGCTGAGTATCTGTATCCAGAGGCTCTTATGATGCTTTTCAGACTCAGGGCTGTACTACCGCGGCTCTCCACTGGAATTCTCCACCTCCTGTCATTTCCTCCTCCTCCTCCTTCCCTCATCCCCACCCCTCAGTCCCTCCAGCTTGCAGCTTGTCCTACCGGACATAGATTCTAGATTTCTACATGTCGCTTGGTTTAGGAAAGATGTTTGTTGCATCGGTTCACAAGTAAATGCCTCCATTGTTCAGAGGCAAAAACTGAAGGTAAACTAGAGAGTTCACGGCAGCGTCCTGGTTATACTACACACATAACAGGTTTGGGTTAATTCAGGAGCGTGTTATTGTAACTGTATTTCTCCCACAATTTTAAGAGGTGTCTGGAAGCCAAAACACCTGTCTGTACAGATACTTCTAGGTCATGGCAATGTATCACTATTCAACATGTATGAAGGTTACTGAAATGAGTCATCCTTTGAAGAAGTGAGCTAAAGAGGACTGTTAAGGAGAGAGACGCTGTCTTCACAAATGCTGCTTCTGATATTAAAGAAGGGATCTGTCACTGGAGCATAGCAGGGACAGGAGGAAAGGGAATATTTCTACCAAAAAATGTAATTGGCTATTTATCTTGAGGGGGGCATTGTTTTTTAGTCACTGGCTGTGTTTTAAACCAGCTTTCAATCTAATTTCTGCTTGATTCTGTCACAAAGGCAAAATTGGGAGTTATCATCACATCACAGTCTGTTATGGAGATGGGTTTAATATCACCAGTATCAGAGCTTCAATTTCATGACAATGTTGAGTTAGATCCTCTTCCTCCTTCTCTCCCCCCACCCAAAAATACCCTAGCCATGGAGGGGTTGGAATCTCATATGCTGAAAGGGAAGTTAATTTTGCGTCTTAAACCTCAGTATCTCTCATGGCCCTGGTTTGGGGCTTGCCAGGGATTCTCACAAACAGAACAGTGTTACACATGACAGTCTAGAGCCCTCCCATAACACCGGTTTGAGCTGTAGCTTTGGACTGTGCTTTATATGCAGCTATGATGGTTCTCGCGGTACCTTGTTACCCCGCCTCTACAGAGAGGGAGCCTTGCCCAGGATGGCTGGCTGTTAGTCCCTAATACAACCAGCCTGTTAGCCACTAAGTGCTCTCCTCTGGGCTGTGCCAGCCCTGTCTTCACCCTGGCAGGCTAACAAGAAGTGTGTCCACGGCCATTGCCAGGCGGGGGAGCAAAGAGGGCAGTTACCCTGGGGCCCAGACATTTAAAAGGGCCTGCAGCTCCAGGCCACCACCATCACTACTGCAGCAGTAGCAGCTGCTGGAGCCCCGCATGGTGCAGTCTGGGTTGCATTGAGGGCTGGCTGGGGAAGGCACACTGCAGTCAGGGCAGTGCTGAGGGCTGGCTGCTTCTAGCCCTGCCTCTTCCACCCAAGTGGAGGGACTGGAGTCAAAATTCCCCCCATTGTCCCAGACCCAACAAAGTCTGTCTGTCGCCAGCCCTGGGTGTTCCATAGACCCCAAGTCCCTCTGAATCATTCCCCTGACACCCAGCCCCTGGCCCTGGCTGCTCACAGGAATCAGAGCTCAACTGTACCCCAGTTTTACCTTAAACCCCGCGGCGCTTGTAATGAAACAAGAAAAGGGTTATTTAAGGAAAGAACCAGGATTCTGCAAAAAGCAAGAGACAGAAATGGTTACAGTGCACAAAGTCATAAAGCACAAAGCAGAGTGCCACATAATAGTTACCTTTCCTCTCTATTGACTTTGATTTTTATCTGCTTAGGTTTAAGTACCCCTTCTCCAGATACTTAATGATCCTCTGTCTCCCACACCCCTCCCGTTTTTCTTTCTCTCCCCTCTCCTATTTATTTCAATTTTTTATATCCCCAACTCATAACTTGGGTCATCTGAAGAAGTGGGTGGTGCCCACGAAAGCTCATAATACTATTTACATATTTCGTCAGTCTATAAAGTGCTATCAGACCATTTGTTGTTTTTTCTCTCTAATACCGGCAGCTTTCCTTACAACGGTCCATCTGTGCAGAGCTAGCTGGTTTCACAGGACCCAGGTTCAAACTTCCAAGAAAAACACACACCACAATGAACTCCATGATGACTCCTTAACTGCAGAAGGATTATCTTGTGGCTAAAGCACAGGACTCAAAATGGAAAGATCTGAATTCTGCTCCCAGCTGAGACACAGACTTCCTGTGTGAACTTGGGGAAATGACTTAGCTGCCTCAGTTTTCCATCTATAAAATGGCAATATTTGCCCTGCCCCTGTGTGGCTTATTTAATTTGTAAAATGCTTTGAGATCCTTGGAGACAAGTTGCTATGTTATTATGAAGTATTATTGATTAACCACTCAGAATACTAGCTAGAATCTGGATCCTGGAAATAAGGATTAGACTATTTTCAGGTTGTCCCGTCCTTGACAGCATTGCTAGTACACAGGGAATGAGCAACACAGAACACAAGTGTGGAGAGAAGATGGAATTATTGCCTACTGATAATTGTGCCTGTCTGTCATAATTATCTTCAAGCATCCTACAACAAAGTCTCTTACTCTGAGCTTATATAACTCCACCTGCTGGTACGCGGGAGGCATAACAAGATTTTTGATTGTTCCTACAACATAGAAACGGCTTAACCCATTTGTAAACAGGTGAACAACATTCTAAGGAATCCAACAAAAGTCAGAAATATGATAGGACAAAAGCTGGGGAAAGGAGCAAGAAGAAAGAATTATAACTACCAGTAAAGTACCCTGTAATCTCTCTCTTTTCCTCCCATGCTAAAACAATCCCTTACTTTCAGCTGCTGTATAAGAGGAGCAGCCAGGTAACCATATACTTTTATAAGTCTTTTTAACAACCTGTAACTGTTTAAGCTTTAACCTGACTCCTTCAGTTGCTGTAACAGAACCAAGCACAATTTAAAAGAACTTCAGCCGGTCATAAGGGACAGGTATAGGAAGAGCTTGGGCGTTTTGATAGTGTCACTCCCAGGTGACAGATCCGTTGGGGCATCTCTCAGTCTTCCCTAGTCTGCCCGCTGCGAAGGGATCCTGTAGCCTAGCAGCTAAAATCTGAGATGTAATAGGCTCTTCCTATAAACTCGGGGTGTCTGTCAGCCTGTTGGCTGCCCTCTGCGACGGGACCCTAGCAGTAAAGTCACGGACGTTAAACCTTTTTCTCGGTATCACACACACACACACACACACACACACACACTGCCCTGACCGTCGGCTGACACTCCATAAGCTGTTTCTGCAGTGAATCAGTAAGGGTGCCTGCCCCCACTCTGTAGTTTGAAACAGTTCGGGGGACTTCGATCTGAAATTTCCAGGGACAGATAAAGAGTAAACCGTGGCTCTGTCTCCCCAGGACATAGCTTCAAAAAACTGGCTTTGCAATGGAGAATTTGCATTTCCCTCCTCCCAAGCATTTCATAGTGAACTCACTTCATGCAAAAAGCCCTTAGAAATTTCTACTATTTTCCAGCGATTGTATTATTTCACCTCTTAGAGAAGTTATATGCAATAACGCTTACACAATTGCATTTTGAATACAATGGACCCAACAGTATTAAACATTATTGCATTAAGTTTAACTTAATTCCATAAAGTTTGACCAAGGTACTGCAGCATATTGTGAGTCTGTTACAAAGTATGCTATTTCAATATCATCCGTGGGCAGAAGTGGGTAGCTGGCATTTCAGTACAAAAGACATACTGGGCAAAAACAATCATGGTGAGAATTCAGTCTGAGACCAAGGAATTACACCATGGATGAATTTGGCCCATGATATATCCTGCCAACAAATCAAATCTCTAAAAACAGAAACTTGAATTTTCTACTCACATCAGTTTAAACTTGATTATTCATCAGGATTCAGGGGGTTGCATGTCTTAGAGTTTTGGTAATGCGATATGAACCCCTTCACCACCAGGTCACTAAGAAGAGTCTGACCAAGGCTGGAAACAACAAAACATTATTACTAACTGCTCCTCAGGTTCGTTTCCTGAGCTTAATTGCCAGTCTCAATGCAGAACTCAGTGAACAAGTGTCTGTTGCACAAATTACAATCCGAAATTGTTACTGCTATAAACAATGCTTAGCAGTTGATATTTCAACTTGTTTGTCTTCATGGGATTTTAACAAACAACTATATAAAATAAAATCCAGTTCCCTCACACAAGATGTTAAGTTCTGTTATTTCTAAGGAAGCCAATGCAGAGGTTCTGGAGTCACTGTGAACATCGAATGAGAACTTGGGGGTTTCTTGCCTTTCAATCAGGCCTCAGCCTGCCAGTAAAGGACGGTTATGGGCATATAAAGGGTGCTGGTGCCTCCTGTCCAGAGTTCACTCCATTGTCAGTGTCAATTTGGTGAGTGTCAAAGAAAATGGACATTTTTTTTCTGCAGAGCTTCTTGTGATTTTCTTTAACTGTCATCCAACTTCCTTCCAAACACAAATGTTTTGACCGGCTGTAGTTACAATCATTCGCTTTAAAGAGCCAGCTTGCAGTATTCCTGGTTCAGAAATGTACAGCTGCATAGGAACCGCTATATAAATATTGAATACAAATAGAGGGCCCATAGTTAGAATTTTGTCTCTTTCCTGATGTTTCACAGGGTGTAGTTTAGGTCTCAGAAATGTTTGTTCCATCACAAGTGAATGCATGTGTGCGTGCACATGTGTTTAAAATACTGTATAGATGAGCTTATGTTTATCTATTTCTGGTCTGAGACATTGACTCTGAGAGGCTGTCTGTATTGAAAAAACAAATATATTATTGTTTGCATGACATGCTGTATCCATGTAAACAAGATTTACAATTCATTTCATGTATAAAACACTTCTAATGTTCTAACTTGTCTGCCACATCTTTGAACACAATGCAGGACCGGGGGATCCGCTACTTTTTATTACAGTGCTGCCACTGAAGCAGCTCTCTTTCTCAAAATCAGAATAGTCACTTCCGTATAAAATATGTAAAATGACAAAACAGACTAGTCCACAAACACTCCAAGAAACCT